AACTGGAAAATAGAGGGAGAAAACGTGGAGGCCGTGACAGACTTTGTATTTCTAGGTGCAAAGATTACTGCAGACACAGACTGCAGCCAGGAAATCGGGAGACACTTACTTCTTGGGAGGAGAGCAATGTCCAATCTTGATAACATAGTGAAGAGTAGTGACATCACACTGGCAACGAATATCCGCATAGTTAAAGCAATGGTATTCCCTGTAGTCACCTACAGATGTGAGAGCTGGACCTTAGGGAAGGCTGAGCGAAGGAAGAGATGCTTTTGAGCTGTGGTGTTGGAGGAAAGTTCTGAGAGTGCCTTGGACTGCGAGAAAATCCAACCAGTCCATCCTCCAGGAAATAAAGCCCCACTGCTCACTGGAGGGAAGGATACTAGAGACAAAGTTGAAGTACTTTGGCCACATCATGAGAAGACAGGAAAGCTTAGAGAAGACAATATGCTGGGGAAAGGAAGGAAAAAGGAAGAGGGGCGACCAAGGGCAAGATGGATGGATGGGATCCTTGAAGTGACTGGCTTGACCTCGAAGGAGCTGGGGGTGATGGCCGACAGGGAGCTCTGGCGTGGGCTGGTCCATGAGGTCACGAAGAGTCGGAGACGACTGAACGAATGAACAACAAGCAGGACTGAGAAAGTTTACCTTTAAGTAAAGTGTCATAAGAGCAATGTTGCTTTAAATTGAATATTCAATTGTTTAAAATCTTTTAAAAGTATGTATCTGTTTTTAATATAATTAATTTGATTTGCTTTTAATGTTGACCTTTGTATGTTTTTAATTGTCATCTTTAATGTGTTTGTTGTTGTTCATTCGTTCAGTTGTTTTCAACTCTTTGTGACCTCATGGACCAGTCCACGCCAGAGCTCCCTGTTGGCCATCACCACCCCCAGCTCCTTCAAGGTCAATACAGTCACTTCAAGGATGCCATCCATCCATCTTGCCCTTGGTTGGACCCTCTTCCTTTCTCCTTTCATTTTCCCCAGCATAATTGTCTTCTCTAAGCTTTCCTTTCTTCTCATGATGTGGCCAAAGTACTTCATCTTGGCCTCTACTATCCTTCCCTCCAATGAGCAGTCAGGCTTTATTTCCTGTCCAACACCACAGTTTCCTCCAACACCACAGTTCAAAAGCATCTATCTTCCTTCGCTCAGCCTTCCCTATGGTCCATCTCTCACATCCGTAGGTGACTATGGGGAATACCATTGCTTTAACTATGTAGATCTTCATTGCCAGTGTGATGTCTCTACTCTTCACTATTTTATCAAGAATTGGACATTGCTCTCCTCCCAAGAAGTAAGCATCTCCTGATTTCCTGGCTGCAGTCTGCATATGCAGTAATCTTTGCACCTAGAAATACAAAGTCTGTCACTGCCCCCACGTTTTCTCCCTCTATTTCCCAGTTACCAATCATTCTTGTTGCTATAATCTTGGGTTTTTTATGTTTAGCTGCAACCAGCTTTTGCACTTTCATCTTTTACCTTGATTAGAAGGCTCCTCAGCTCCTCCTTGCTTTCGGCCATCAAAGTGGTATCATCTGCATATCTAAGGTTGTTAACATTTCTTCCAGCAATTTTTACCCCAGCCTTGCATTCGTCAAGCCCCGCACAGTGCATGATGTGTTCTGCATTCAAGTTGAATAGGTTGGGTGAGAGTATACAACCCTGCCATATGCCTTTCCCAATCTTGAACCAATCTGTTGTTCCATGGTCAGTTCTTACTGTTGCTACTTGGTCCTTATACAGATTCCTCAGGAGAGAGATAAGGTGATTTGGTATGCCCATATATAACAAAATCATCATTCTATCCTGGAGATTATATTTTCCCTAATATATCCCACCGGCTGGCGCCACTTTAAAGGATCCTAAACTGAGATCTCAAAATGAATCTCGCTGCTGGACATGAATTATATGGAATATATTTCTTGGCACGGAGCGTTTAGATGATTGTTGAGGTAACGTGTATAGACTGATAGAGTTGCTGCCACCACCCAAAGAAATTTGGGAAACTAAAGATGCTGTCCCTGAGGTAAATTCTTCCCTACCCACCAGCTCTCCCTCTGGCTTCCTGAAAATGACTGAGTGGTAAAGATGTTGAAAATCACTGGAATTATTCTTAATGCTGAGGCTGCTTAAACGTTGAACTAGAGAAATGTTTATTAATATATTTGAACAAACAACTAACTTCTTCAGCGAGGCACACAAGCTTAGATGGTTACAGAGGCACACTATTCTTAAATGATTTCTTAAATAGGTTTCTTAACTTAAACGTGAGCAAGATCCCTCACTCTACCCTGATACTGTAGCAGTGAGTTCCTCAGACAAACCTAACCCAGTTGTCCCCAGAGTAAATAGCTTCACTCTAGACAGAGTTCTCTCACAGCTAAACTACTCTGACCCCAGAGAGCAGAACCACTTGTGTCCTAAATCCAACACAAGCACACAGGTGTCTACTTTGACCCTCCTGGCCAAATAAATGTAGAATAACCTGCCCCAAATGCCCTCTCACAGTAAAAAATCTTTGCTCACCAAAAATCCGCCTCTCACTCCCTTCAAAGCCAAAATCCACCCCCTCTTTGTGACAAGATGACAGCTTTTCCCTCTCTTGGCTAAAACTCCTCCCATCCTGCCTTAACCAATCCAGAGAGAGCTCCAGCACCTCCCCTGTTCTACTCTAACACTCCCAAGATGTCTGCCTCCCTGGTTTACCCTCTCAAAATGGAGGCCTGCTTACTGACAACTTAGGCTCCTGCTTCGGCCTATGAGGTAAGGATCATGACACCATACCACCAACAACTTGCCACAATTTAATATGATCCATACAGTCAAAGGCTTTATAATAGTCAATAAAACAGATATGTAAAAAGGTGTGTAAGCCACCTTAAGTCTCAATCTTGGGGGAAAGACATGATATAAATGATGATGATGATGGCTGGATAGTTTTGAAATTGTGCATTTGTGACTGCTTTGTATTCAAGATCTCTACATGCCCTCATTTAGAGGGTAATTTAATTTGTATACATTTTTAGTGATGTGAGATTCTTTGTATATTTATTTTAATTTTTTTAAGCTGTGTTGAATCCCAAGGTTGGAGAAAACGATAGAAAGAAAGCAAGAAAGACAAAGAAAGATACATAGAACATTTTTGTGTCTGTGGCACATTATATTTGTCTCTCTAACAGAAGGTCATTATTTTGTAAAATAACCATGGATGCTTGTATGTTAAAAAAAAAAGGAAACACTACTTCTTGTCCATAATACAAATAAATGGGGGCTGCTTTTCACTGTGGTTTTTTTCAAGGTCAGAATCTCCAGAAGACATCTCTATGCATGCAAGAGCTCCATGTGTTTCACTTCGATAAGGCCAGCTTAGAGCTATTATATATTTTTGTTAGCTCTCCTACTCGTGTTTGTTATAATGTCTTCATAATCAACAACAGATTATATGTGCATGCATAAAAATACACACTGGAAATATGGTAGTTATAATGTAGCTGCATTTTCAATGTATATTTTCAAAGACAATGGTAATCCTGGAGTGCTGTTAAGGCAACCCGGTTTTGCTTTCGGGATTCAGGGGAAAAGCCAAAAATCACTACAGTATCCCATTTCACTGAAAATAACTGAACATATAAAAACTGGCAGGGATGGTCCTTATGGATGATAACATATACAACTGCAAGCATTAATTTAAAAACTGATCATCATATGCAAACCATTTACATTCGTCATGGCTAAGCTAGGACGCGGTTAGAGAGTCTGTGCCTGGAGAGCATAAGCTAAACCAGACAGTACAGAACAGGAAAGCCAAATCATCAGGTTGAAGACAAGCCACAGAGGTTTATTGCAATTCGGCCAAAAAGTACAAGCAATTTGCATCAAAAGGTACAAGCATAAATATACCAGAAATGCAAGACATCTTATACAGCCATTTAAATCTCCTGATCCCTTTCCTGATTGGCTAAGGAAAGAGATGGCAAGGATCTTTGTCGGGATTGGCTGGGGATTCCCTTGATGTCACCACCAGTAGGTGAGAATTCCCAGAGCAGGAGAAATGGCAGCCGAGGATTGGTTTGTGCAGGTAGCCAATCAACTGCAGAGACACCTCCTGGGAGGACACAGTCTGTGAGGAAGCAATGGCACACATATGTTAATGAGATTTTGATTAGCTCAAACATGCAATTCCATGCAAAACAAAAATATGGAGCTCAGAAGACAAAAGTACAAGAGCTCAAGAGACAAAGGTGCTAATCTTAGGCAATCAAGGGTTTGGCTGTCAGTATAGAAAATTAATGAATGCACTACTTTAAGCCCCTCTTCTGTGGGTAGCGGCAGACTCTCAGCCTCAGGTTAAATGGACAAACATATTGAGCTTATCTGGCTGATAAAGAAGGCCACCTATTTTTGCATAAACACTATGAATCTGATAATTATCTGTCTTGGGAAATAGCTAGAGGTATTTGGCAACATCCCTGTTACCAGGGGACTATGCAACCAAGGTGACATGAAGGTGGCTGCCTTCCAGATATCTTTTGATACATATAAGAAACAATGTATTGTTGAAGGCTTATATAAGAAACAGTTTACACACTTCATATAATAAATTGATACAGGAAACGGACTGAAAGACAAGTTGCACATAAATCATCTAATTAATGCAATGTATAAAGGGCTAAGGCACAATATAGCTCATGAGGTACAGCTGATACTAGATCCATTCCAGATCTTCTAAAAGTTTCAAACTTGTGCAACTCTAGATCTCCGGAAAAGGTTTCTCTGGATGGAGAGATCGGATGAAACCAAAGGTCTATCTAGTGAAGATTCCTGTTTGCTACAGTGTCTCTGCTACATGCTTCTTGAAAGTTCTGCAAGAGGGACTAAAGTTTGTAGTCATCCTCCTAGAAATTACTATGATGTTCTCTCTGAACTCGAATCTTATTTGTAGTGGTGCCTATATTTCATGCAAGTACATAAAATGGAAATAATTGTGCCCCACAGATTTCCTGCGTCTAATGGAACATCTGGAATAGTCCTGGGCACTGTTTCTGCAGTATCTGAAGCACTCAAGTCCCCACCTGTTCACCCAGCATTATCACTCCTCTGTCAAGAGAACTTGTGCCAGAATGGAGGAACTTGCCATCAAATGAATCTTTGGGGTGGAGTGACCTCATTTCGGTGTGACTGCCCTCTTCATTTCACTGGTCGTTTCTGTGAAAAAGGTAACCATTCCATTCTTCACATTTCACTACTTGTTTCAGCTTTGGAAGGTTTGTAGTTCTTTATTGATTTGATTCTTGTTAATTAAAAGAAGGGGTGAAATAAGTTGGTTAGTTTCCTTGGAAAGAAGGTTGTGAGCGTTGTGCATGTTGATCTGGGCATTGATGAGAACCATTATACCAAAACCAGATTTGAGGGTGATCAAGACCAGATGAAACCATCGGTGGAGATGGAGACTTATTAGTGTTTAATGGATGCAGCAGCAAAGAAAACATATTCCTTTTTCTGCAACAGCCTATTCCATGTCTTCTAACCATGTGAACATATGTAGAACAGAGTGAACATATGTGAAACATTGCCCACAGTGGAACATGGCCCAAAGTGTGATTACAGGTAAGAGTTTATTGCTGGTTCCCCCTTTTTGGAGGCAAAGAAACTGGAGAAACATAGAGCAAAATCTCCTTCTATCTTGGTCTTATCTCCTGGTATTCTCTACCTGGAGTTGATGAAATCTTCCTTCAGTGGTGCTTATTCTGTATGCAAAATGACATTTTTAGGCCCATTTTAGGTGTGGTGTGTTTCTTCGAATCATGCAGATACTCAACAATCAGAAAAGAAAGGCTTTCCCCCCTCTTCACTTAGTCTCAAAATGGATAATAGACCTGGTTTGCATAAACGGAAAAAATGACCACATGCAGCATGCTGTAGTATTTCAAAACTGCACAAGGGAATGACATTGTAGATCTAAAATAGGAGTACACCCAGACTACGCTCTTCTCTCATGTTTTCTACTTTTCAATCTTATAAATGCCAGCTCAAAGATCCAAGCCCTCAAAACCAAATGGAAATGATGACCTGAATCTTGTGGAGCATTATGTGGCATAATTCCCAGTTATACAAGCAATTGTACTTTTTATGGGCTTGAATAAGGCATGTATATTCAGGACCCTCTTGTGCACAGTGCCACTTTCAAGGCATGGAAACTCCTTAGAAAAGACCACTTCTGTTGAAGCCTTATAGTCTGCTGGCATTGAATAGCCAGTATGTGTTGTTAAGGTTATATGATTTCAGAATCCGTCTTGGTTCAGACCAAATGGCTATCATTTTCAATATCCTGTTTCTCACAGCAGCCAAGCAGATTCTTATTAGAAGTTTACAGAGAGCCCATGATATCAATCACTCCCTCCTGCAGTTGTTCTCCAGCTAATGATATTTAATCCTTGTCCAATTCAGATCTCTACTATTGCAATCCCACCCCATGTTCTCATATTTGCTGATCAATCATGAAACTGAATACCACCTCAGACCACTGCTCATCCTTTTGTCCCCATAGTAAGTGTATTTCCCATTCATTTGAGGAATCTGTCTTAACCACTTACTTCCAAAGGAAGTAAACCTTGTATTTGCTTTCATTCCCTGAACATAATGGCTGACATGCAGGATGTGATCATAACCTAGGAGATAACATGAGAGCTAGTCGCTAGAAATATTGTCCAAGGTTTTAAATGTAAAATAAGACAATATGTTCTGCATCTGATGCTGTAGAGATATCTATCTCTTCTTTGTCTTTAATGTATTTTTTCAAATATGGTTAATTATAACTGTCTAAATTTTCTGCCCATTTTTAGTTACCAGGCATAATTTAATTGCTTTTGAAGTTAAAGTTAATAAAACACTGAGACTTTTCTGGTGGGAAACTGGTCAATATCTGTTGCTGTCTGTATTCTCAGCCATATCACTTTTATTCAATTACTTCCCAGAAACTTCATTTCTTTGATATATGCAGTACTTGGTTTAAATGACTGTTAGCTTCTAAGGCACATTCTCCTTTTGTTGATGCTGGATAATTTCCATTAGTGTTATTGGGAATTACTAGTGTGTAACAAAACGAAAGAGTGCCCATATTATAATTAAAGCTCTAATATCCTTCTAATAGACTTTCCATTGTATGAAAAAAGTACAGGGCAACCACAGCCAAGAATGCACTTGCCAGATTGTCAATATATTTGAAAGTAATGGAAACCAAGCCTGCAATGCTGATTGAAAGTAGGTCATTATACTCTGTGCAGATCCAATAAATGACTCTGGTCTACAAACGATAGCTTCTAGTTAATGAGCCTCCGATTTCAAAAAAGTAATTATTTTTAAAAATTCCTTTCCCCGTGTTTGTAGTAAATTAAATGGCATTCATGTATTTCAAATTGATGTTAGTGAACAACTGATCTGTGGGACTGCATTTTATGCATTTGTGTAAACGATACCATTAAATTAAAGAATTGTTGGGCAAAGTGCAATTGAGTATCTGTTGTGGAAAGACAAGGTGTGTTTCACCAACATTTCACCAATATCTGCCTTTTCCAAAAGGTGCCCAGAGATCAGCTGAGGGATCATGGACTTGCATCTCAATTCCCAACATTTAAAGAGACCTACCTAAAAGTTCTCTATAAAGAGATAACACTTTCCTGCCACTTCCTTTGCCTTTATATTGACAACTAGGGTAACAGGGAGGCTGGATTTAGCTCTGAGTTCTTTAGCTGCTGAGTTGTAGCCTAGGGTGCACCTAAACTGTAGAATTATTGCAATTTGAAAGTACTTTAACTGCCATGTTTCAGTGGTATAGAATCTTGGGAGTTGTAGTTTTACGAGTTCTTTAGCCTTCTCTGTCAAAAAGTGTTGGGGCCTCAAAAAATAACTAAAAATGCTATGATTCCATAGCATTGAACCATGGCAGTTAAAGTGCTGTCAAACAGTATTAATTCTACAGCACCCTTAAAGAACCCCTTCATGTTTTAGTAGTGTATTGATTGGGATTTAGATTTTTTTTTCCCCACAGCAAGTGATCTATTCATATTTATCACATTTCATGCTTCTGCTGAATATTTTCCCCATTTCTCTGGACAGATATTCCATATTTTAACATGATTTCGGTAGGTGGGAATGGCAAACAGCTAAATTCCAACTGTTATGTTGCTAAACTTGCTATATTATCATGAAATCAAAGTCCTGCCACCTCAAAAGGTGAAAATCTTACCTGTTCTTGTGTGAAATGGTTGGCTATCAAAACCAGCTGAACACTATTCAGCCTACAGCATTAAGCAGGTGCCATCTTTATGTATTTGAGAAGATCTTGAAAGGAAGATAAGGGAAAACATTTAAATAGTATATCCAGCATTTGTAAAAGCATGACACAATATTTGATTAGCTTCCCACAAACAAAGTCAATTTCTGAGAAAATGCAACTACGTCTGCAATTACTAGCACAATATTGTAATTTCCCAATAGAATTTTAGCCGTAGTTTGCTTTGGAGAATAAGCAAAAACACTGTATTTATTCCTATTATGTATTTCATTTAATTATTTTTCTTCAACTCCTCTATTTTAGACACTGAGTTCAATACCTCTGCTTCTTAATTTCCATTCACTTAAAAAGATTCCTGGGACATGAAAACAGTCCCTGTGCTTTTACAATGGAGGCTAAAGAGTGTAATTCAATTATAATAACCTTCTTGTCCTCATCAGTGTTAAATGATTTGGAATTAAATAACATCCTTAGGTTATATATATTTTTTGCTTATTGTCTTACACACTGTTAACAGCTTGTCCAGTCCCTAGAGGGAGAAGGCATTTGGCCTAAAATGTAGTACTGCTACTTACTTACATGCACAACATCCTTTTTGCCCTCTCATCTACTTTTTATAAGTCTCATGATAAAAAGCATGAGGGTCAATGATCACAAAATATGTCTGTTTAACTCAAATGACAAAGAAAGGTCCAGAAACGACAGGCTAGCTATCTAATCTCTTAGTGTTTTCATATCAAAGGAAGAATGTACTTCTAACATTTCTGACCCCATGAACATGGTTGTTATCATGTGTACATGGTGGTCCATAACATCAAGTTGGATTTGTGTTGAGGTTGTGAATCAGCGACTGGAAACTGCATCCACCCGTGACTACCTTTGTTTAATACAAATACATCCAGATTTGTCTCTGCTTCCTGTGTTAGTGAGTGACGAGCTGCTTTATTGAAACCATTTTGCCCCTTGAAATATGAGTCAGGATCTACCAGGGAGTTTATTGCTATTCTTGTCAACTTCCCTGCATTGAATAGAAATCTCTAGTTGTGTAATGCATAAGGGAAATGCATGATCTGAGCAGTCTAGTGGTCTTGCGTTGGATTGTTTCTACCAGTGCAAAATGCAGCCAAGGAAAACCTTGTTTTTAGAGTGTACTTCCTAGTTTAAAATTCATATGCCTCTTTGTACATACAAAAGAGAGTTCCGGTGAGAATGTTAGGAGCCTGGACTTCTACCTTGACATGGTGTTTCTATGTCTGGGATGTTTTTCTTTACCAATGGAAGATCATTCAAACAATAATGGCAAAGAAATCTTTCTTCTCTGTCAACATTGAATCCACAGTGAGCAGTGTCAAAATGAGTAGTCCTCTTAAGCCCAGGCTACCAATAGGCTCTGTCTTCTTGCTTTAACAAATTTATGATATATTTTAGGGCAAAGCTGCATGCATCCATTCCAAATTTGACAAGTCAATGGAAATTGTCTGGGTACAGTCTTGTTGGAGTCTATTAGTCAGTTATAGCCCACATGAAATAGATTGGATGCTTATAGCGTATAGGATTATTCTCTTTAACTTTGTCCATCCTGTCTGATAAGACCTAATAGATAGTATACTTAAAAGGGTCTGACTGGACTAATGTTGAGAGAAATCATGTGTTTGAAATGGTATGATGCAGCTACTCCTTAAGAGGCCATCTTTGGGCATTTCGATACAGAAAGTATAAAGTTACAAATATTCTCAGCATAGGCACCAGGGCTAGTCCATGAGGTCATGAAGAGTTGGAAGCGACTGAACAAATAAACAACAAAGTCACCAGATCCCATCTGATCTTGGAAGCTAAGCACAATGTACCTGGATGGGAGATTATGAATGAATACTGGGTGCTGTGGACTATATTTCAGAGGAAGAAACTGGAGAAACCACCTCT